TTTAAATAGCTGCTCGCCAGATTTTATTGCATTATAAAGAAAAGTTATTGAAACTAAATACAACTAAATAAACAACAACAACTAAAACAAATAACAACAACTACTAATAACAATAACTAAATAAACAACAACTAAATTCCATTCGTTTAGCATTGCGTCATATGTTGTTCCTACTAAATCGAAGTAGTTGTGTTTTTTTCATATTATACCAAACTATGTATCGAAGTTGCCAGATTCACAAAATAAAAGTATATTACGGTTACAATAAAATACATAAAAAATAATAAATCTAAGTATAAGACTCAGACGAGAAAGAATTATAGTTTAACAAATTTGATGAGCGATACTACCCTGCATTTAATCAACTTCACGTTAATTAACATTCTGCCTTATGTGGGGAAACTTAACGATCAGCTGGAGCTGACGTCATAGATTTCATATGTGGGTATTGTGATCTTCTTTTTTAAGTGCAAGTACCCATTCTAAATATTTCATTTCAGATTTTAGTTTTGTAATACGTGGAATGTTTTTCTGTCATATATTTACTTACTCCTTTTTATTTCATTGTCATATGACTTAGTTTAAAAGGAGTAATGGGGCATGTCGTCCATATAAATATGTATTTCATTCAATATTGAAACAAATTTAAGAAAAAGAAAAAAGGATTACAAATTTAAATATTTAATGTAAATCGTAGTTTTACTTAGCAAAAACTATACTTTAGTTTTCATTTGCACACGATATGCTTATATTACATCATTACAGTATTAATATCTAAGCATTGGATAGAACATGATAACAAATAAACCAATCGATTACAAAAAACCAAACGATTTAAAAAAAACTTTATAAATTCAAATAAAAATAATAAAATAAAACGATAAACTCATCCATTCAATTGGGTATAATATAGCCTACGTCACAGGTTGTGTTATTCCTACTAAATTTAACCCATGAACGGCATTTTCTGCGAGCCTAACTTCAAGCCACAAATAAACAAACGAAGTGTTTGATCGTTTAAATAGCTGCTCGCCAGATTTTATTGCATTATAAAGAAAAGTAATTGATATTCGATTTTTGATTAATAATTGATTTATGTGGATAAGGGCATTTATGTGGATAGTGGCATAGAATTTAGCATTGCGTCATGGTAAATGTTATTCCTACTAAGTGGAAGTAGTTGTGTTTTTTTATATTATACCCAATTATCAGTTAAGATAGCGTTGCGCTAAACCGTTAGGGCGAGTGTTGGCATGTTGTCGCACATCGAAGAAAACGTATCGCCTTTTTTATATAGTTTAACAATGGGGTGGGAATTCCTTATATATTTTTTCTGTGCATGCCACTAATAAAAAAAACACTCAATGGCGCTTAGAGAAAACATTTAAAGGACAATTCTATGCCGTTGCTAGGCAACAAAGAAATAAATTGTGTACTCACCTGGAAAGTATAGTATTTTCCTTTGATTCTCATAATCTGTACCCGGTATAGAAAGTACACATTCGAAGACGGTGGGTTCTTCGGTTAATTCCCAGTCCCGAATCTCTCTGGATACCTGGACATAGTAGGCGCCCCCTTTCCCACTGCTCGTGATCGTCTTGACGCCGGACACGAGACTGGCCTGACGCTCCGGCAAGTCCAGCTGCAGGAGTGTGATCTTGGGCATGGGAAAGACGCCGTCCGCCTCACACGTGAAATTCACCACCGACTCGGAAGACATCTTGGTGTAGTTGAAGTCAAAACTGCGAGGAGGAGCTGAAAAAAATATATCACCCAATCAATTCTTGCTTATACAAAACCTCCTCTCCCAGAAAAATAATACATGAATAAATTAGGATAATAATATGCAGTCCCTGGTCAAATTATTAGATTCACTCTAAGATTCTATGTAAAATCTTAATTATCAGTTGATACAATACAGCTTTATTGTTTTTACGTGACTGTTTGCACTTGGTTACGGTCGTGTATCAATTGATTAACATAGTAATGCAATACGTTAAAAATAAATACAAATGGGAAATATACCCGTATAAAAAATTTCCTCTACAAAAACCCATTACATTTGTGTTTAAATATAGGATTATTGCATATAAACTAGTGCAAAACATGCAATTATTAAATTGCATGCTAATAATTTGGTCTAATTATTATAATATACTAATATAATATAATACCTGATATAATAAATATTCTATATTTCTATAATATATCGTCTCATCGTCAGAACAATTTATATTACATATCGTCTCATTTCACCAATTTATACATAAACGTAAACAAGTACAAACCGGTTTCAGTCGGGTTAAGGCAATAAAGAGCTGTATAGAGTATCACTTGATAATTAAGATTTTACATAGAATCTTATAGTGCGTGTAATAATTTAACCAAGGACTGTATTTTCAAGCAAATTAACGAAAAATATCTGTGACGTCGATCATTTTGGCGGAATAAAGTTTAGGTTTGATTATAAAAGTACTTCTTTATTCTTTCACAATTTGATTGAATAACCATTTTTAAAATTTATTACAATAACATTCTAATGAAGTAACATTTTCTGTAAGTTTTGCTCATTACCAGTAATAACAGACGAACAAATATCTTGATTAGAGAATCGAAACTATAGTATATCCCTTTGCGTAAATTTTTTTGTGCGTTATTCACGCTAGTTGTTTTTCTTCCATTTTTTTTCTCTTTCTGCTTAATTATACTTTGCACAAAATATAACCTTTCCTTCTTTTGCATTTTAAATGAGGTTTTTCTATCAGAACAATTTATTTTTTCACAAACGCAGACACGTTTATTTTTGTTATCACCAATTGATATAATTCAAAATTCGACAGTTCATCTTTCAATCAATCAAAAACTATAAAAAAAAAATAAGCAAAGGAATCTACATTGCTAATCAGGTACAACCTAAAGTAAGGAATCACTACAAAAAGTTAGTTTTGGGACATTCAAAAAACGCATAGAACTTAATCATACTTGAAACGTTTTATTTGATTTTTCTCATTGAAAGTTATTTATACGCTGAGCACAAAATTGTAAGAAAATAATAAAAATTCTGTTTTTCTTCTGTTTTTTCGATTGTTGTTTTCTCTATTGCCTATTTGCCGTGCCAACAAGGCTGGTTGAGTAGACAATCGAACTTGAGGCAAAGGGTTTCTTGTTTTTAAGTGGCGCCATCTATGCCACGAATACGACTTCAGCTACACGTCAAAGCCCGTTTTACAAGGCGGATCCATTCATACACCCATTCATTCATCTACAGATCGTAATTTTGACTTAAATTACCAATCTCCAATTCAGTACCCAAAGAAGTATTGATTTGTTATGGGAACTTGGAGGACTTTGTGACTCCGAAAGAATTAACGTGCTTTTAATTAACGTGAAAGAATTAACGTCACCATTTAATACAAAGGGATTCTTCGGAAGGCTGGATTCGAACTCCCGTACTCACGGACTGAACACCCTACCAACCAGGCTATCTCAGCCCTTTGAGGTTCTTTTGAAGGTATATGGTTTGAGCAGCAAAGTAGACTTAATTCCCTTATTTCTTGGCAAACACATTTGAAATTTCTTTTAAAAAGCTGATAGTTTGCAAGCAAATGTCAAAATCTGTTATAATTTTTTCAAATATGTTTGAATGAATGAAATTATTTTTCTAAAATTATGCTATATTTCAAGTTTTCCATGCAGATATATATGTTACTGTGAATGACCAAAATTGGTGGTTTTGTTTTATTTTATAGCCGTAGCTGAACAGCCGACCCAATTTTGGACTTACGACTAATAATGTTCAACTCCGAAGCCTTGTCATTTTGAACACAATCCAGAAGACAATGAAACTCCAGAATCAGTACCCACAGAGGTATGATTTGTTATGGGAAGATGGAGGACTTTGACAGATTTCACGTGCATCAGTCACCATTTACTACTTGGGGAGTCTTCAGCCAGAGGGGATCGAACCCGAGACCTCTTTAACATAGGCCCAATGCCCTACCAACCACGCTAAACCGGTCCACCTGGGAATATTGACAATCACATAGTCGCCTCAGTAAATTTCCAAAATATATACTTTACTAATTAAGTGCCACTGCCCGGTATACTTTTGCCCGGTATGCCCTACATCTATGTTTTTTTAAGGTCAGGTGCCAGTGCCCAGTACGCATTTAATCAGTATTCCGAACACCGATGTTTCTCCTAATCTATCCTCATCAGATATTAAAATATCGAATAAATATAATAATATTAAAGAATAAATTAATATCAAATGAGATATAACAAATATTTTGGACATTCACCGTAGCGACTATGCGATTGTTGACATTCACCTTTGAAAGTCGACATTCTCTTGATTTCGGTCGTAACATAAACACAACGTGCTGGAGTTTTAAGTTACTCCATTTAACACATACGCGCTTGACGTCGGCGGTGAAGATTTTTAAGCGGGCGCTTGCTAGAAAGGCTATCAATATTTAAAGGGTATTAAAAATTTCCCGAGGAAAGGTATTAATTTCAAATTATAATTTAAATAAATAGTATGAAGATATTTATTTATTTTCATAAAATTAGGTGCGAAAAACTTTGCCTTCTGGCACTAAATTTTATTTGCTTAAATGTAAGCTTTCCTTATAGTCATTTTTATTCTTATACATTCCCTGGCCAAATTATTAGACGCACTATAAGATTCTACGTAAAATCTTAATTATCAGGTGATACTCTACAGCTTCATTGCTTTTAAACGGCTGAAACCGGTTTGTACTTGTTTACGTTCGTGTATCAATTGGTTAACATTGTAATGCAATACGTTAAAAATAAATACAAATAGGAAGTATGTAAAAAATCTCCTGAATAAAAACCCATTACATGCATATTTAAATATAAAAGTATTGCCTATAAACTCATTCAAAACATGTCATTATTAAAAAAACTACAGTGAGTCTAATCATTTGATCTAACTATTGCAATATAATAATATAATACTGATATAATAAATATTCTATATTCATATAATATATCGTCTAATTTAGCCAATCGTTGAATTTATATTATATATAGCCTAATTTAACCCATTGACGACCGTAAACAAGTTCAAACCGGTTTCAGTCTCGTAAAACAATAAATCTGCAGAGTATCACCTGATAATTATAATAAGTATCACCTGATAATTATAATAAGTATCACCTGATAATTATAATAAGTATCACCTGATAATTATAATATTACACATAATCATACAAGGAGTCTAATAATTTGCTCAGGGACTGTAACCTACCACATTTTCCTTATAATCTACTTATTGCCACTTTTAGTTTCTTCCAATCTTTCAAACTTCTTCCATTGACGTGGAAGAAATAAATGGATTTCCTCTAGACAAAACCCTGCTTTCAATGTCTCGAAAAGTGTTTACTGAGTAGGCTAATCTTTCCAATCAATGAAAATACACAAAATGTGCCCATAAGACAACGTAGTGAAAGAAATGCTTTTACGAACGGCACACAAAAAAGTCGAAGAAAGAATTCTACAACAATAATTATTTATACGCAGCACGCAATTTTAAAAAAAAGTCCCACATTTTTACTCTGACTTTAGTGAAGAGTTTAATGACTGTTTTTGAAAAATAACAACTCCCCCGAAGTACAGAAGTAAAAAAGAAAGAAGAAAAGGGGATATTAATTCTTGGCTGACATACAATACCCCCACCCCCAACTCTATGTAATAAAGTGTCTTTTCTATTGAAGCTAGAATAATGGACACACTTCTTTATTTTAGCCTTAGAGTCAATAAATTTTAATTATTTTGACGAAAAAAACTTTTTATGAGAATTACACAAAGGATGTGGTGAAGCGGCCATACCCAACTTGAAACCTAATCGAATTTTCATTAAAAAAAAAGAAGAATTTATTCATCAAAAATGTATTTTACCTATTTTTCTGTTTCTGATATCTTTCAGCGTTTCCTAGTTTTACAATATTTGCCAAAAGAAAACAAAAGACATCGTCATAGGGTTGATATCTTCAATCCTTCAAGGCGTTGATTCCTTTATGACGGCCTTGAACTTTACAAGACGGTTTTGATTGTTTTAAAAAATTGATTTTATTTATAAAACGATTTTGATTCCTTCAAGACATTCTGGATTCTTTGAAGACAGTTTTTGAATCTTTTAGGAACAGATTCCTTTAAGATGGTCATCATTATTTCAAGACTGTCTTTATTCCTTCAAAGGATTATTTCGATTTAATATAGTCTTGATTATTTCAAGACAGTTTACGATTCTTTAAAGATGATGGTCTTTAAGATTCCTTCAAGATGGTATTCATTATTTGAAGACTTCCTTCATTCCTTCAAAGGATTATTTCCTTCAATATAGTCTTGATTATTTCAAGACAGTTTTCGATTCTTTAAAGAATAGATTCCTTCAAGATGGTATTCATTATTTGATGACTGTCTTTATCCCTTCAAAGGATTATTGCAATTCAATATAGTCTTGATTATTTCAAGACAGTTTACGATTCTTTAAAGATGGTCTTCAAAATTCCTTCAAGATGGTATTCATTATTTGAAGACTGTCTTCATTCCTTCAAAGGATTATTTCCTTCAATATAGTCTTGATTATTTCAAGACAGTTTTCGATTCTTTAAAGAATAGATTTCTTCAAGATGGTATTCATTATTTGATGACTGTCTTTATTCCTTCAAAGGATTATTGCAATTCAATATAGTCTTGATTATTTCAAGACAGTTTTCGATTCTTTA